AATGTGAAAAAGATGAGAATCGGTTCCTTCACAGTTAGCAGCCGAGGCTAACAGATTCAATGTTTGGAGCTGTCATAGGTAGCAGTAGACTGGGGGACTCCCGTGTCACCTATTAGGGGCACAAAAAGGCAATACCTCAACAGGGATTAAAAATTTCAGATTGTGCTTCTGCTCCCTTGTTGCTGAGGTTTCAGAACTTGATCCCCAGGGGACTCTAAAATCAGGATGCAAATCAAAATACAGCTATGGATCAAGCAGAATTTGTGTAGTATTGCCCATATGGCATTGAAAGGGTGTGTCTAGACTGAGCCAAATACAGCACCCTTCTGTATATCCTTTACTCTTACAAGGCATAATACTTGCACTTTATCTCATTTTTAAGGGGGACTAGTGTCAATTAATTCTCCTGCTGGTGATAAATTTTGTTGCCAGATCACATGCACACCTAACTAGGTGGGGCCGAATTTAACTTCTGCCTTAGTCCTTAGCCCACTGGTACAGCAAGCTTTCTCGAACTTTTCCTGCAGCTTTCACCAGCTCTGTGGTGGCGGCCAGGCCCTAAATGATGATGCTGCACTGAGATCCATGCAGCATGCTTGGGCAGCTCTGTGATCTCTCTGGGAGCTGCCGTTAACTACGTGCCTGACCAGCATCAGGCTTTTCCCACACTCCAGCTGACACAAGCATAGGGTAGCAAAGGACAGTAAGTTATTGTAGTTCAGATAAAAGGTTGCCAGCACCTCTGTTTAACTGGCAGCTGCCACTTTTAAATTATGAGATAATCACTAGTGCTGTCCACTCAGACCATTTGTTCAGAGGCTTTGATGACAAGCAGATTCGCTGGGGGACAAAAATAAGTCCCCAAACTGTACACTGCTTCTGGGAACTGGCATGTGAACCCAGAGTGAATCAAAGCTCAGAGGTATGCAGCACATCTTCCTGATACATCATTTCAGCTTGTCTCAGATGTAGATGGACCCTTGTGCAGCTCTTTCTTCTGCAAATCAAGAGTTGTGCTTGAAGGCAAAAGCACACTGAAGCTGCAGTGCCAAAAGAGCCTTGCAAGGTAACCAGGTGGAAAGCCAGTCCCACAGGTTCCTCCCCTAAGCAATCCACTGGCTGTCCTCAGGGTAGCCAGATACCCTGCAGATAGCGGTGCTTTTAACTGGTACAGCTGCAGCCCATTAGGAGATTTAAAAAAAAAATCCCTTGCACATTGCTCACAAGCTTCTGAGCCCCAGAAAGAGGTACATGGGCTCAGGTAAAGTAGGAAGGGTACACTCCACTCAAGACAGACATGTACATCCTCCTCAGGCAGAAAGTAAAGGTATCCCCGTCCCCTTCTCATCCTGTTAGATGCAGAAAAATCCTGGCTTTAGAAATCTGCCAGAATATACATGTTGTCCTCAAACTACAGCATTAGCTGTATAATTTTGCTTATTAAGAAACATCTTTTTTTTCCTGCAAAACCAAACGCCCTTGGAACTTGCCAAAACTCATCACAAGCTTTTTTGCCCTTGAAAAACTTTACTATCATCTCTCATCCCTATGTCCAACTGATTTTCTTCTCTTCAGAAGTCTTCCTCAGAAAGTAGTACTGAACCAGACTGTGTCTAGTAGTCACAGACAATCAGGTAAGTGCAGCGTCCACAAGCTCTGTTTCCCCATTTTCACATAGGCTTCTCTTTTAATGAGCCTGGGTTTCCTGCCAGACCAGAAAAGCGAATGACTTCATAGAATCATAGAATCACTTTGGTTGGAAAAGACCTTTGAGATCATCAAGTCCAACCTTTAACCTAACCCTGCCATCCCACCCGTAAACCATGTCCCTAAGCACCTCATCTATCCTTCTTTTAAATACCTCCAGGGAGGAGGACTCTACCACCTCCCTGGGCAGCCCATTCCAGAGCCTGACAACCCTTTCGGTGAAGAAGTTTTTCCTAATGTCTAGCCTAAACCTGCCTAAAACTTCATTTGTCTCCAGGTCTCTCCTGCACAACGTCTACCGCTAGCCTTCCTTAGTCTCCATTATTATTCATCAGTGACATAGACAGTGGGATTGAGTGCACCCTGAGCAAGTTTGCAGGCACACCTGAGGGACTGGATGCATCCAGAGGGACCTGGACAAGCTCCAGAAGTAGGCCCATGTGAACCTCATGAGGTTCAACAAGGCAAAGTGCAAGGTCCTGCACCTGGGCCAGGGCAAGCCCTGGTATCAATTGAGGCAAGGCACTGAGAGCAGCCCTGCTGAGAGGGACTTGGGGGTACTGATGGATGAAAAGCTGGACATGAACCGGCAATGTGCACTGGTAGCTCAGAAGGCCAACCACACCCTGGGCTGCATCAAGAGAAGTGTGGCCAGCAGGTCGAGGGAGGTGACTCTGCCGCTCTACTGTGCTCTGGTGAGACCCCACCTGGAGCCCTGTGTCCAGCTCTGCAGCCCTCAGCACAGGAAAGACCTGGACCGGTTGGAGCAGGTCCAGAGGAGGGCCACAAAAATGATCCAAGCACCTCTCCTATGAGGACAGACTGAGAGAGTTGGGGTTGTTCAGCCTGGAGAAGAGAAGGCTCCAGGGAGACCTTATTGTGGCCTTTCAGTGCTTAGCAGGGGCTTATAAGAAAGATGGGGACAGACTTTTTAGTAGGGCCTGTTGCAACAGGGTAAGGGGTAATGGTTTTAAACTAAAAGAGGGTAGATTTAGACTAGATATAAAGAAGAAATTTTTTACTATGAGGGTAGTGGGACACTGGAACGGGTTGCCCAGAGAGGTGGTAGATGCGCCACTGTCCTGGGTTTGGTAGGGACAGAGTTAATTTTCTTCCGAGTAGCTGGCATAGTGCTGTGTTTTGGATTTAGTGTGAGAAGAACGTTGATAACACACTGATGGTTTAGTTGTTGCTAAGTAGTGCTTAGACCAGTCAAGGACTTTTTCAGCTTCCCATGCTCTGCCAGGTGCACAAGAAGCTGGGAGCGGGCACAGCCGGGACAGCTGACCCCAACTGGGCAAGGGATAGTCCATACCACAGGAGGTCATGCTGAATATAGGAACTGGGCGGAGTTGGCTGGGGAGCAGCAACCACTGCTTGGGGACAAGCTGGGCATCGGTCAGCAGGCGGTTAGCAATTGCATTGTGCATCACTTGTTTTGTATATTCTTTTATCATCATCATCATCATGATGATTATTATTATTAATTTTCCTCTGCTGTTTAATTAAACTGTCTTTATCTCAACCCATGGGTTTTACTTTTTTTCCCCAATTCTCTCCCCCATCCCACTGGGGCGGGGGGGAGGGGGAAGAGTGAGCGAGCAGCTGCGTGATGCTTAGTTGCCAGCTGGGGTTAAAACATGACACCCATTCCCAGAAACATTCAAGGTCAGGTTGGCCGGGACTCTGAGCAACCTGATGTAGTTGAAGATGGGATAGATGAGGTGCTTAGGGACATGGTTTAGTGGTGGGATGTCAGGGTTAGGTTAAAGGTTGGACTCGATGATCTCAAAGGTCTTTTCCAACCAAAGTGATTCTATGATTCTATGTCCCTGCTTATTGCAGGGGGGTTGGACCTTCAAAGATCCTTTTCAACCCAAACCATTCTATGGTTCTATGACTTAGGCCAAAGGAGACAGGTGTAAATGCTCTGAAGTAGGCTGTGTCTTACCACTTTATGAAGTGCTAGGTAAACTAATGCACATTTTTATGGTGCATTTTAGGTCTTCAGAAATGGCAGACAAAAACCACCACAAGAGCCAGTGCCAGGGTAGAGGACAGGAGGTGGGGTCAAAAATGCTTTCTATCTAGCGTGATGTCTGGGATTGTCATGGTCCTATCAGCACATCTTTGTGTCAAAGTGTGAATTCTGTTTTGTTTTGTGGATCCCATTCTGCTGTACATTCTGCACTGCCACCTTCACAGTGCCACAACTCTTACCCGTGGTAGCAGCTGGACATGTTGGGGAAAAACCCATATGCTGGAGTAGTTGTAGCAGACGAGGCCAACAAAACCCATCAATCCTGAATGTCTGGAACACTAGGTAAGGTCATTGGCCCCGACATACTTACAAACAGCAGTTTACCAGATGGGACTGGGGCCTGAATTACCCCAGCAGAGAAGAAGAGTCAAAAGGGACCCCTCAATAAAGCAGTGTATACTGTAAGACAGGAAACATTCTCTAACAGATTATGCAAGAACCATGTTGTCTAAGGGCAGTGACTGTATCTGCCACTGATAAGAGAAAAGACACAGAGGTTTTCTGGAGTCATCTGCTTTTTCAAAAAGTCAAAATTCTCAGCACTTTCTGGAGTAAAATAGCAATGGACAAGAGATTCCTTTGCAAAGCCTGTCTTCCTTTCCTCTCCCCTGAGGATTTTAGCTCAAAACCCAAGCTCCTGCATGCTGCATGATTTGGGGCTGCTCTGGTGTTCTGTTACCCGTAAGAAGACTGCTGAACAAGCACAGGAGGGAGTCCTGGGCCTATGACTGAGGGTGCTTTGCAGGTCCTGGGCACTCATTAGCGTTGCAGCTGTAACTCAACTTGATACTGGGGAAACCCCAGCTGAGCTTCACCAGTTCACCACGCACCCACTTTTTGCAAACAGAAGGGAACATGTGGGCTAGCGCGAACCCATACACAAACAGGACACCCAACCTGGACAAGCAAAAGGCCAGAAACTGCAGCCTGCTATGCCATGTTCCAGCATTTAATTCATACACATTCCGAGAGACCCCTAAGTCATGAGTGACTAATGACTTCCCAGACCACACAGCACTGGCTGCAATCAAGTGAACACAGTTGCTCTCAGCTAGCCACCCCCAGCTCCTTCTCTCTGTCTCCCCCTTGATGTCATCCCTCCCTCAGATCTGCTGCTGTAGCTGTTGGTAACAGCTTCCTAAACAGGAATAGAGGCATGGGCCTGTTTCCAACAGATGTCTTTTGCACAACTCCGCTCCAGAAGTTACTGGATGGCTGGCTCACTGCAATCACTCCTGTGTGGAATTCATACCTGTATTCAGCAACCCCTCCTGCGTGCTTCTTCATGGCTGTATCAGAGCTCATTCCATAGAATAGTTTCACCTTCTTGCCATTTTTTTCCATAATCTCTCCAGCACACTGGTCATGGCCAGCAAACATTCCTCCAAGCATGACAAAATCAGCACCGGCTCCTGTGATCAGCAAAGTGACAAGTAAGAAAGCAGGGAAGGGAGAAGAGGGTGAAAGACAAAGCAAGAACACGGTGGCCTCCAAAACCAATAGCCAGCCCTAAACAGTTTGGTACAGAAAGCCCCCTCCTGTAATAGATGCAGCAAACTTGGAAGAAATGCTTTCCTGAAGAACTGACACATGCTGAATTTTCTCTGGAATTTCTCTGGTATTTTAAATGGAATGAATCCTTTTCTGTTGTGATGACAAGGATACATATTATTCTACTCCACCCCACGCTATTGTCAAACTCAGTTTTAACTCTTTACTTCATAATAGTATCTGAGCACAGTTCCTTATTAACTACTATTGTGACTGCAGTAGCCAGAAGCCCTAATCACAGGGCTGGGACCTGTTGAGCTCAATGATGCACAGAGAAGAGGACACCTCCTACTTCAAGACCTTTCTGGGCTACAAGCTGTGAGTGGGAACATGCCCTGAAGGAAAGCATACTCATGCATGTAATGTACTCCTCCCAACACTGATAGAAAACCAGCATGCTTTTTAACAAAACAATGGATTTTTCAAGTCATATGTGTTCAGCGTAGGTCCAGGTGATCCCTTGTCAAAGAAAGAGATTTGGATGGGTCTGCATTTGGTTCCTGTTATTTAAAAACTCTGGGCCAAGGACCACCACCCCTGGGTTCTGTGGTTCTCAGCACACTCCGCAAAGGAGGTCTAACCCATAGCTACAACTCCTAAATACATTCCAGATACTAAATAACAACACTGAATACTCAGTCATGCCTATTCAGTTTGTCCCTCTCTCCTGGCTTTGCAAATCACAAAGTCAATTCCACCAAGAAAGTTTTTGGAATCACTCTTGATTTTCTACTATGATTTCCAATATTTCCAGCTGGGCTGGAACTATTCCACCAGCAGCTCCTCCTGTGATATTTTGGCATATCTAGTCTTGCTTGAAAAAGTTTGGCTTTTACTCTTTTATGAGCCTGTGGTGACCCATCCCTGAAACAAAGCATTTTCCTGTTGAGCCTCTCTGCTTCTTCAATGTGTATGTGTCAGAACAGGCCTCCCCTCTGCCCAGCTTCTTCTCAGAACTGGCAAAAGAACAGGGCTATAAACCTCACTTCATAGAAAGCAGATAAGCCTGAACTAACCCCACCCCATTATGGACATGTCCAAAATCTGAGGAGATCCCAGGTTAGGTAAGTCTGACATGAGGATTTGCTCTGATGTGTTGCTATCCAATAGCACTGGACCTTGAAATCTGAAAAGTGAAATCATGATCAAATCCGCTCAGCTTCTGCCATCTGTTTAAAAGCTCTGTAGACAAATCTGAATTTGGGAATTTTTTGATCTTAGAATACGTGACAACTGTGGGGTGTGCAGTGACTTATAAAAGCCAGTTCCCTCCCCCCACCCCTTTGCCAAAGAGCAGACTGAGTAGCAGTGCCGGGGAGCAGAGCACCCAGCTGCTCTGCTGACCTCGCCTCCCTTTGCCTGGGTGTTGTTTGAAAGGAACAGTATGTCCATGGTAAAGGGATATTAAAAATGAGGCTTGTGCAAAACCGCTGAGCACATCACAAGCAATATTTATAGCCAGGCACCCATTCAGGTGTCCTATCATGCCAGCTACCTGGCAGCTTTTTTCCTGAGCTCTCTTTCAGATGGCTGAGTTTTAAAGCCTCGGTTTGACTCATGTCTGATACTACTATTAACCTGCCAAAGACAAAGGGAACACTCATCCTTTAAGACACTCTCAATTACTGGTGGGGAGCTCCTGTTGTTACTTGGCACAATCTTGCTCCACCTTTGCAAGAAATAAGTACCCTGGGAAATCTAGTTGATGTCTTCATGGGTGGAAAAAAACAACACAAGGAAGGAGGGACAGATTTGGGGTCAGGGTTTCAAAGACGGCGTTGTTTTAAACAAGTCATAGGCCTGCCGAAGGACACTCTCGATGCTTCGCCTTGTCCATACTATCTCCTGATCCCCAGTTCTAGTCCTGTCTCTGGTTGGGGGTCTCACAGCCTCCAAATTATTAATGCAAAACAGTCACATGAAACCTACACTTCAGAATTTTGGCTCCTGTCCACTTAAGTATCTATTTATTATTTTTCTTTTGACTGCCTGTTCTGGGAGGAAAGCAAATATGTTTGAATTACAGGATTGAAATGCATCCAACTTGAGTAACTTTTGCAAACTGCGAGATAATTCATCAAGCTTCTCTAGAAGAGAAGAGCTATGTTACAGCAGACGCAGCATGTCTAAACATTGGAATGACACATGCTTACTGTCCTGCAGCTCCAGGAATCACAAATCCATATTAAATATACTTTTCCAGTGCTCTCCAGAACTTTCCACCCTGTTTCAGTGTTGCAAAGATGTCTGAAAGTTTCAAGTCTGTTCCACTACTTTTCCACCAGCTAACATCCAACTGGGAGGCTGTAGTTTTGAGCATGGTCTTTCTTTACTTATGCATGGGTTTTTGTATGACCAGAAGCATTTGTGATGTTTGTGACACACAGCTGCAGACTTTCACTTTCAAGTACAGACAGACAGCATGCCATTATTTTAGGTTGTGGGGGACTGGAGCACCTGGCAACAACCCCTTAGATAATACAGGATGTGATGGGGTATGCTGCATACAAGCATCCCAGTAGCTCGCCAGAGTTTGCTAGACTCACCCTGTTTCGACACAATGCCACTTCAATGCACTGACTCTCCCCTTGAGGCCTACGCTGTATCTGGGCTGATTTTGCTCATTCACATTTCACAGAATCACAGAATAACAGAATGGCTGCGGTTGGAAGGGACCTCTGGAGATCATCTGGTTCCAAACCCCCCTCCTAAAGCAAGCTCACCTGCAGGCTGCACAGGATTGCGTCCAGGCAGATTTTGAATATTGCCAGAGGAGACTCTACAACCTGTCTGGGCAGCCTGTTCCAGCGCTCTGTCACCTTCAAAGTAAATAAGTTCTTCCTCCGATCCAGATGCAACCTCCTGCGTTTCAGTTTGTGCCCTTACCCTGTCTCTGGGCACCACTGAAAAGAGTCTGGCCCCATCCTCCTGTCACCCACCCTTAGGATATTTGTAAGTGTTGATAAGATCCCCTCTCAGTCTCCTCTTCTCCAGGCTGAACAGGCCCAGCTCTCTCAGCCTTTTCTCCTGGGACAGTTGTTCCAGTCCCCTCATCATCTTTGTAGCCCTCCACTGGACTCTCTCTAGTAGTTCCTTGTCTTTCTTGGACAGGGGAGCCCAGAACTGGACACAGTACTCACACAGTGCCTTCTCTTTAAGCCATTACAGAGTATGTGTGTGCTGATGCCAGCCCAATCTTGCAGCACTTGCACAGTTCTGCTGGATCTGGATGGAGTCCCTCAGATGCCTTTTGTATGCCTGATAATACAAGTTACTGATAACCAGATTGGCTCTGTACAAATTCAGCTGGAGTCGGCCTGGATTTGTGGCCTGGGCAGCCCTCCAGGCAGATACAGCTTAAGTTTGCCTGGATCACAGCTGGCCCTAGAATCAATATTCACCTGTGCTCCAGCTGAGCCAGTGAGCCTTTGCAACAGTAGGTATACACACACAGCTACTGAAAACAGGAAAAAAAAAGCTGGTACGATCTGTCAGGTATATTTTGGAACCAGTGTATGTCCCCGGTTGACTTTTCCACATGATTTTTCCTTCCTCTTCCTTCCCTGCTCCTGTATCTCTTCTCACCACCGCCGTTAAGGAACAGCAGTATTGTGTTAAAGATGCTGGCGTAGGATTCAAAAGGCACATTCTGTTCCTGGCTGTGTCACAAAAATATATGTGACCTCAGGCAACTGAACTTAGTATTTCTGTGCTCTGACTTCTCATCTTTAAAAAAGGAGACAGTAGTGCCTCCCTGGGGCATTCTGAGAAATGTGTTCTTGTTATCAGCCTTTCCAAGGGTGCAGTTATGTGAACCATCTGAGAGCCCAACACGAAGTGCTTTCATGCTTTCTCTCATTCCTCCATCAAAACACCTCTATTTCTCCTGATCAGCCTACATCTTTTCCATTATCATCTCCAATACCCAGACAGCAGTGGCATCTTCAGTATACCAAATACATACCAGGTTCCCATCCAGCAGTTCCAGAATTCTAGAATTCTCTCCCAAAGTACCTGTCCCTCCTGGCATTTTTGTCCCCCACCTTCAGTGCTTCTCTGTTCCTTGCCTTTTCAAATAGGCTTCTACCTTGTTTCACCTCTGTCAAAATGTCCAATCTGCCTCTGACTCCTGACACTAGTCAGTAGTGTCATCTTCCACTTGTAAAGCTTCTCAGCATCTTCTTCATGGTGCTTCACAATTCTTCACTTGCACTCAATCCATTCCACTCCTCCTGTTCCCAGAGACTTGCCTCCTCCAGTCACATCTTTAGCCATTTGTTGATGGTAGTCTTCACATCTGGGACTCCCTCACACTTTCTCTGATTCAAATGGCTGCTTTGTTGGTGTTTTATAATGAACACCTCAACATCCCTTTCATGAAGACTTTACATTGATCCACCAAAAAAGAGACAGCATGATCACTTTAACCAAAAGTCCTCTTTGGGTCTCTTGTCCACGCTTTGTCCAGGCCTCCATCCCCAGGTGAATTGTACATCCATGTGTTTTATCACCTAGTCTCTGCTATCTGGTATGTAACTCCTCCCGCCGCAAGAGGCTCTCAGCAAGCACAGAGGTCTGTGCTAGACAATGAAGTATCAGTATCAAGGCTTTGGCTTGTAAATGCTGGGCATGGAGGCTATATTCTACGTGGCTCACATAGCCAATCACCTCAACAGCAGTCAATAAACACTGACAGTAATAACATTATCTAGAAGTTTATTTTGCCACCCACCTTTGACAAACATACACCTGGCTCCAGCTAGTCAGATGTCCCCAGTGTGTCTTCCTCAATTATACCTAACCACATACTGTAAGCTTATTGCCTCAGGATAACCTCTATCAGTTCAAGCCCTGTACCTGTGACACAGATCAGACTGATCTGTCTGGCCTACCATCAGAGTAGGACTGCTGCCTGTATGATCTCAGCTTTCTGATGCTCCTCTGTCCCAGGGACAACCCACGGTGGCCTTCAAACATGTACCAATGTGAATCCCAACAACTCCTGACAATCAGCAAGACCAGAATCTGCCCTTTCACAGGTTTCAAGCAAGTTTCTGTTCAGTTAGCCCGAAGAGGCTACAAGGACCCTTCAGATTTGCTATAAACAACACGAAGGAAATAATCTTAAATGCTTTGAAGTTGATTCCTGTTGTACTAACTTCTGGAAACGCTCTTGCTGAAGAAAGGCCAGGTTTCTGTGCAGGCAGCTGGGAATGCAGTGAGGTTGCAATCTCAGTTCACAAGCTCCCAACAACAACAATGCCAGCAAGAACTGGGCGACCTGCAGAGCCAGAGAAAGTCAGGCAGAACAAAGGCCTCAATGCAGGCAGCCCGATGTTGGAGTGGGCTGGGCTGAGGAGAGGTTTGGTGTTTTTTTAATACAATCTTCCTGCCAAAAAGAGTGGATGCCGCTGTTCAGCTATGTCAGAATCACCCAACTGGAGGTATCTTTTCCCTACGTCACATCACCCACTGGATAACACAAGGGTGATGTGAAATCCTGTGACTGAGCAGATTCCTTGCTGGTAGCAATCACTCCACGGCTGTGCTTAACATTCTCTAATTAAGTCTTCCTTGTCATTTGACCTGCCTAAAAACAGGAGCTGTCTGCAAACTTAGAAGACAGATTTTGGTTTCAACTTTTCCAGGAGGCCCGGAGTTTTTCTTGGCAGGTCTGTAATCTGAGTTTAGTCCTGCCCCTGCTTTCCATACTTTCAAAGCTTCCTGCCAAGCAGACATGCTGTATCATAATGTGCTCTCTCTTCTATCTTACCACCCTGAAATCCCAATGAGAGACTGTGCTGTCCCACTGTATTCTGGGTATTACCCCACTGTGACATCTCCAAAGGGTCTGGCATTTTGAGGGGGTGGGGGAGTTTCTTTAAATGTCCTGTCAGCCCAGTATGCATTTAGCACCTGCTTCACATATGCTGCTGCAACAAGGTTATGGCTAAGTGACAATCCTGACCTTGATCCCCACACACCGATGTAACTTTCATGCCCAACAGAAAATACTCACAGATTAAATTCTCTATTCTGTCAGCAAAAGCTGGTGCAATTCACAGAAGCTATTGGCACGAGAGCAAAATCTGTTAATTATTAACTTAGATGTTTTAGACGTCTGCTCAGCTGCAGGGGGTACAGTATAAATAAAATCTTGTCTCTTCAAGTGGATGGCTGATCCCAAGAACATCACCAGGGATCTGGCCTGCCTTTTTGTTTTTTATTTCTGTCCAACAAACATTCCACCACCTCTTCATCCATTCAAGGCCCAGGTCAGTCAGATCTGGCAATGTTACAGGCATCTTTGAACCCTATTCAGAAGAAACCCATATCAGTTTTCTTTGTATTACTGTCCCAGTGGCTGTATCCCATGCACACCTGGCAGATAGTTTCTAAATAGGACTTCGACCACTGTCTGTTTTGCGCTGCAGAATTTGGACTGTCTGGTCCAAAGAGCAAATTCGTGTCTGGTGTATTAATTTCACTGGAGTCACCCCCAGGGACGAATGTAACCTATTGCTGACTGATTACACGTTCAGGGTCAAATGGACTCCTGCATCACCGCTGACGGTGCTGGAGATGGGCGGAGTGGCAGGGGTGGCACTACGCGCTGTCCTTACCAAACGCTTTGGCGACATCTCCTGGGCAGCTGCATCCACCATCCTGCATAAAGAGAAGAGGACAGTGAGTGGCAGTGAGCTCACCCGGGGACCCAGGGAGCACTGGTGCTCTGCGACCTGCAGCAGAATGGCCCCTGCTCAGGAACATCGTGTCAAGAGCTGACCCTGCACCGTTGGTATACATCATCTGGGCTGAGTTTTGAGGGAATCCATATTATCCTCTCTATTACTTTCCTTCCTTAGGCTCATGTACTCTAGTGTATAGTCTACTGATGATACCACTGGTAACAGCAGCAAGGCAAATTCCTGACTGCAATTTCCTAAATCCCAGAAACTGGAAAACCAAACCTCCTCTGATGATCTCAATCATTCCCTGCCATTTTAACAAAAGGCTGTGTGATGCAGAGGTACCACATACCCCCACCTGAAACCACCAAAGACATTTAAAGTAACTTTCTCAGCAGTTTACAATACATTAAAAGGTCACAGTGGGAGGGATGAGGAAATATACCATCAACTATGTTGGATTTTGATCTGATAATCTCTAAGCAAACTGGGTAATCTAATCTCTGGTAAATGAAAATTAATCTCGCACCATACTCCTCACTGCTTGCTATGGGTTTGGTAAAGAAACAACAGCACTTTGAGATCTTTAGCATTTTAGACCTGTGTGTTTCGGTTTCAGTGCAGAGCTGATGAAGTAGCTGATGAGGGGGTTTTGGCTGAGTGGAGGGAAGTTACATACGTGTGATAGGGCTGTAAAAAAGGAACGGCACATAGCATCATGTGCTATGGTTCTTTAGGTTTTGTAAAAGGTCTAAGCATCAGATGAAAGATCCTTCTAGTCTACACCATCATTGTACCAAGAGGGCTCCCCATTCCTTTGATGATCAGGGTCCACTGCAGACTGCCAATAGCTTTCCTGCTTTTGAAGCTACTCCCCAGGCTGTATGGTTACTTCATTTTGTTTCACCTCCCTGTTGTCAGAAATGCACGCCTGTGTATGACCTGCAGCTGAGCACAGCCAGACACCCCCACCATCAGCCATTTTAGAGCTGGCTTTCGCTGGCAGTGGGGCCAAGCATTAGAACCTCTCTGTGTGCAGAAAAGGATTCAGACACAAACTGAGCAGGTGGATCTGAAAGTGAGCGGCTTTTCAAAGGGCATCCCAGTGCAAGCAGCACCTGGTAGAACTTTAAAGGCTTTTATTCCATTTGCTGATAACCTCCAGCACATTATGCCTTTTGTTGAGCTAGACACTCTTGCTGTCAGCTCCAGAAAGAAGTGCTGGGCTGACAGCTGAATCTCTCTCTCCTGTTAAGGGCTCTGCTTGTGCAATTCTTTCCCTCTGACAAGACTGTCAGAGCCTGGAGGAGGGTGTGAGTGTGTGTGCATGTGTCAGGGGAGGAAGAGCTGAGGCAGAAAGAGGGGTCTAATAATCTTCAAGGAGTAGTCTCAGGAACTTGCCTGACTTGCTGTCTGACTGAGGCAGCCTGGCTATGAATGCTCTCTGGTAGATGGGTTTCAGTCTGTTCTCGTTGGGTGGCAGAGTGTCTGACTTGTATAATTAACCCAGTAGTGACAGTGATGGAGGCTTTATGCTTTCAGAAGTGCCATGGGGATGGGGGCCTTAGTGTGTAATCATTAATCATCAGCTTCAAAAAATATTGCTTTGAATGTCACCAAATTACAAAATGCTGAGCAGATTAAGAGACTTTCCCAAAAGCTCATGAGTTACCATTTAAGATAAAAAGAACCGATGATGATGATTCACAGCACTTCTTTATCTGTAGATGTCTCCACTTACTTCACATAAGCAGGTAAATTTAATGATTCACAGGAAGGGAAACAAAAAGGGGACATACTAAGCAGTTATGCTGGAAGATGCTATATAATAAAGTTATATGCATTAAACCACTTCATTCCATGTGAAAAATCAAGTGCTTTGTTTAGAAAATAAGACTGTGCTTCTGATGCATTGTCTGGGAAGCTTCCCCTTGCAGTTCAACTCGTCCCAACAGGGGCCTAGCTCTGGACTCAAAATTACTTGTAGAACTGCTGGGCTTCGGTCATAGAGCTTGTTGCAGGCTCAGCCTCTACCTCAGAGCCCTGGGGAAATGTACCTGTACAAATCCCCCTGGGAATTCAGGAGAACTGGCATTATTCTGAATTAAGCCTACTGCAAAGGGTGGCCATGGGGCCTGTAGAGGGCATGATTCTGAGACAACTGGGTGCTGAGCTGAAGGAGAGGGGAAAACAGCTTTCCAGTCAACAGAATTATTTTAACATGGCTAAAATAATGTTATTTTCCCCAGTCTTGTTCTCCAAACAAGTAAACCATTTTACAACAATAAAATTTAGCCTGAGGAAAAGAAATACAGTATGGAAAACCAGTATGAACACCTAATATTATATGCAACTTATTATAAGTTCATAACTATGATTTATGTTTCAAGCAACCTTTATAATAAACTGTATAACCAGCCCTTCCTACAGTATCAGCAAACAGATAGCTCTTTATTATGCAGAAGATATATAAAGTGTGTGGCATATACAGCAGTAGAAACAATACATATGGTGCTTTATTCTGAACTACATATGCTGGGCGTATTTCTGTGTGGAAAGTGATGTGTGTGGAGGAAGAGATAGTATGGCAGTAGCTGGGTGAAGAACCCCTTAGTCATCCTTTTCACTGAATGCTGGTGGCCCATCACCCATGCAGGGTGAAGGGGAAATAGGGTTCTCTATCAAATGATAGCCAAATGAGAGAGGACACATGCAAGGCTGCTTTCCATTCCTCACATAGCTGGCTTACTAGAATATGTGACTGCGTCTCTATCTAGCAGAGTAGTTCTCTGACCTACAAGAAGCAGAAACTTTATCTCAAGCAGGGCGTTCCTGAAGGAGCTCTTCTGCTAAATGGCCCCTGCACTGTAACCCACTGCTGCACTTTCTCAAGGCCAATAGATTAGTGAGAATGAAAACAGAGACTATTGGCTCCCAGACAAATAGCATGGGACAGAAACAGTGCCTGTAACTCAGACAGGGTTTCCTTTCTTCTTTCAGTGAGTCATGAAAGATTCATTTCTGAGGTGAGCCTTGAGTCTTAAAGATAATTTAGCATGACGAAAGTAACTGGTGCAATTTCAACTCCCCTTTCTCTGTAGAAGGGACTCTATAGAGACACCAGGCATTCACTTGGACTGTAATGTTTGCCTAAAAACTGTCACCTTCTTTGTCAAGATATCAGCTCCACAAATCATACATGATTCCTTCCGTAATACAAACATTTAAAATCCCAGTTTTTGCTGCCATCCTAGCAGAGCTACTGCAGAATGGGCTTCAAGCGTGCTGTATTCCTTACGCTGCCTGTACCGTGCTCAGCACTGTCACTTTCTCATTCTGTGAGTGGGACTTCTTTTCCTTCATACGTAAGCTGAGCCAACGTAAGAAGAAAGAGGAACAATTCGATGAAGGTACTGGACAAGACAGAAGTGGATGCAAGAAAGTGCCCCAAGGGACTAACCCCTATCACACCATCAGCTACAATCTACATGAAGATAGCTGGTAGGCTTTGATTCTTTCCACTTCCTTTCTGTTACTTCATAGAATCACAGAATAATTTAGGTTGGAAAAGACCTTTAAGATCATTAAGTCCAGCTGTTAACCTAACACTGCCAAATCCACCACTAAACCATGTCCCTAAGCACCTCATCTACCCGTCTTTTAAATACCTCCAGGGATGGGGACTCAATCACTTCTCTGGGCAGACTGTTCCAGTGCTTAACAACCCTTTCAGCGAAGAAATGTTTCCTAATATCCAATCTAAACCTCCCCTGGAGCAACTTGAGGCCATTTCCCCTCCTCCTATCACTTGTTACTTGGGTGAAGAGACCGACCCCCACCTCAGTACACCCTCCTTTCAGGGAGTTGTAAAGAGCAATAAGGTCTCCCCTCAGCCTTCTCCAGGCTAAACCCCAGTTCCCTCAGCCGCTCCTCAGAAGACTTGCTCTCCAGACTCCTCACTAGCTTTGTTGCCCTTCTCTGGACATGTTCCAGCACCTCAATGTCCTTCTTGAACTGAGGGGCCCAAAATTGAACAAAATTTGAGGTGCAGCCTCACCAGTGCTTAGTAAAAGGGGATGATCACTTCCCTACCCCTGCTGGCCACACTATTCCTGATACAAGCCAGGATGCTGTTGGCTGCCTTGGCCACCTGGGCACACTGCTGGCTCATACTCAGCCTCCTGTCGACCAACACCCCCAGCTCCTTTTCCTCCAGTCAGCTTTCCAGCCACTCTTCCCCAAGCCTGTAGCGTTGCATGGGGTTGTTGTGACCAAAGTGCAGGACCCAGCACTTGGCCTTGTTAAACCTCATACAGTTGGGCTTGGCCCATCGATCCAGCCTGTCCAGGTCCCTCTGCAGAGCCCTCCTCCCCTCAAGCAGATTGACACTCTCACCCAATTTGGTGTCATCTGCAAACTTAGTGAGGGTGCACTCAATCCCCTCATCCAGATCATTGATAAATACATTAAACATAACTGGCCCCAAAACTGAGCCCTGAAGAACACAGCTTTTGACTGGCCACCAAGTGGATTTAACTCCATTCACCACAACTCTCTGGGCTCGGCCATCCAGCCAGTTTTTTACCCTGCGAAGAGTACACCTGTCTAAGCCATGAGCCACCAGCTTCTCTAGGAGAATGCTGTGGGAGACAGTGTCAAAGGCTTTGCTGAAGTCCAGGTAGACAACATCCACAGCCTTTTCCTCAGCCACTAGGCACGTAACCTGGTCATAGAAGGAGATCAGGTTGGTCAGGCAGGACCTGCCTTTCATGAACCCATGCTGGCTAGGCCTGATGCCCTGGTTGTCCTGCAATCCCCTGGATGTCCTGCAATCCCCTGGTTGTCCACACTTCCCTATCAATATAGCAAAAAACTGCTGGACATATTTTCTCCCACTGAATTGACATAGATAGTTGTGGTAATACTCTGCCTGTAGAGGTCTCTTTTGGCTCAGGCAGGGTGTGCCCCTTCCTGAATATACCTAACGACAGTAGTGAGACATTTTGAGGGATGCCATGTACACTTGTTGCCACTAGACACAATTATATACTTAGGCTTTCTCCCATTTGGTGTTTTTCCCCCAGGAGGAAGTCTCTCTTTTGTAATACTCTTGCCAGAGCTCTGGCAATGACTATGCAGTCCAGCCTTTTCTTTCCCCCATAAACATACCAATACCTGTCTGAATGCTGCAGAATTTAGACACCCTTGCTTTAGTCTCCTTAGTTGGGTGACAAGAGTTGCAGTGGCTTAGAGACCCCAGTTACAGCTGAAGGGAATTCTCTTGGCCCAGATGTTGTAGCAGACAGGTATTAAACTGCCCTCCTATACTCCCCCTGTAAGGCCAGGGGGTTAATAGGTGTGGGGTCACTGGAGCCAGCATGGCCTAAGCAGGTCAGGAACTGATCCATCCCCAAAGCAGGAAAGGAAAGGAGGAATAGCACAGAACCATCTCATTTCTCGGCAGCCTAAATACACACTCCCTGCTGTAAAATCAGAATAATAACGTCCTTCTGAGGGTGTTAGCAGAAAATGATTATTGCAAAACCAGGATGGATCTCTGAGCACCACTGCTAGGATGACACCTATAGTTATCCAGCCTTCATAGTAATGAGTCATTCTTTCATGCTCTATTGCACACATGTTCTGCTGTCTGCTATAGACATAAACATTTGTAATACTGCCCAAGTCATAAAATCACAAACCGCTTTTCTTTTTTTTCTGCAAAATTCATATAGGGGAGCCATGGAAAGGAGGGAATGCATATGTGTTAATGATAAAGAGCAAGAGATATCCGACTGTAACACATACTCATTTTCCTGCTCCAAGAAATACAGTCCTTTGCCCATCCACAGTCAGTTTGTTCTCTCCCCTCCTTTCTCAACAACACAAACACCCCCTTCCTCACATGGGTACTGGTCACAACTGGGTCGAATGAATCACGGCCTTCCAGTGATTTCACTTGGCAGTAGATCTAAAATTCAGTGTGTGGTCTCTTCTAGGGCCGCAGAGGGAGACTCTTGGCTGTGAAGGTACCTATGAGTGCAGCACATGGGTTAGCCCCTATGCCTTCCTGATTACCAGCCTGCAGGGACTGTGCAAGCCTGGCAGTCAGGGGCACACTGAATGGCTGGGCGTGCCCAAGCTTACAGGACCTTTGGGTGCTGTAGGCTGCAGTCTACATCAGTCTGAGGCCATGCTTACAGATTCAGTTTTTCTGTGTGAGGTGAAGCTGGTCTTGCTGGTAGAGTGGAAGCTGCCATTAGCAGGCAATACACATACATGTTCTTTTTTTTTCTCCACAGGCTCATTATTTCCCCAGGGCTTTGTGAGAACGTAAGTGGCTCACGTGCCAGCTGTGCTCAACAGAGCCACCTCTGAAACACTCCTGCCCCTGCACAGAGCTCTGTGACAATGCTGTCTGAATCAATCCAGCTACCAGGGCACAGATGGGCTCATATCCTTTTACCTTGTACTCCCCTCTACCGCCTGCCTGTCCCTCAGTCCCACTCTCTGGGGAAAGCCTTGTTTACGTTTCACTCATTTTTCAGAAATCTTTCATAGGAATTACTGTTTTCTTCAATGTGAGAACACTATCAAGCTTCCTGTTCTGTTCACATAACAGCTTACTCCATTCAGGGAGCAAGAAGCAGCTTTCCAAACACACAAACAGGACCAAGGTGCCCAAGTCCTTTTAAATACTAGAGGGACTTAGTGTCTTTACATTTAAATTTCCACTGACTACCGTACGAGCTAGTATAGGGGTCAACTGGAGATGACAGAAGGATAAAGTTTAACATGCAGGGTACTGGACTGTTTGATTCTCCTATTCCACAGCGATTCGCACAGTGGGATTCTGAGAGCAGACGATATTTACTTACAGAGATGATATGTCCTTTCAAGCCATGTGCTGAGTCTGCACACTCAATAACAGCACTTAGCTGTGGATAGCCCACCCCCGTCTTAATCCGAGTGGTACACACAGAACCTAGACAAGAGAATGAGAGGAAAAAAACATAGCCCATTAGGCTGACAGAAAAGATATAGCTTGTTTTCTTTTTCTTGTAGAAAAAATATGTTTCTATCTGTGGGGTTTTTTCCCCCAAGAAGTCTCTATTGCTAATGTTGGCTTCTCATGGATAAAAGGAACACAAAGGAACTTGAGTTTTGAAATGCTATCACACCACTTCATGGGAGCTATAATTGAGGTGACTAATATCCTCCCTTTCTTCTTCAGGGGCACAATTCCCAGTTTAGGTCTCATCAGTAATGCTTCCCAGTGAGGGAATTAGTGCATCACGAGAAAGCAAATCTGACCAAGATGCCTGAAGGGAAGGGGGACAAAATGACCAGAGTCACAACCCATGAGACTCAGCAGCAGCATTTAATACCTGAATATTTCTTCCAATAAATATTTCTATCTCTTTTCTATGCCTTTTTAAAAAATAATTCTCAGGGGAACTCTGTGCTTTTATTTTCTTTTTCATGGAGATCTTCCACAAGGGAGAGAAACCCATATTTTGCCTAATACTTAAAGCAGAAATATTTGGTTGATGGCAATAGTTGTGAATATAAGAAAATCAGCACACAGCATTTAAAAAGTGAGATAAGTAATCATCAGAAAGCTGTACAGTGTAATATTACAGGAAATATACTAATTTTATCTGATTATTAAACTATATTATTTATACACATACATGGTGCATGTATATGTACATATAAAAATAAAGATATATACATACATACCCACTTCATTCCATATAGACCCACATCAATTATAGTTCAACATGGATCTTTTGAAATACTTTCTCTATTTTTTCCTCAAATTAAGAGTCAAAATGAGGACTGCTTTTTGCCAGTCCAGGTCTTATAATTTAGGAAACAGACTATAAAGGTCTGCATGATAACAAGAATTTCAAAACATATTCTAAACCAAATGCAGTGAAATCTGGATCTCTTCATCCAGCTGATATCCAGGTATACTCGAGCTCACAGTAAGGTAAAAGTTTCCAAAGATCTTTCAAAGAACTGACAAAGCAAGAACACTGAGAAGTATTTCTGCAAAGTAGGAAGAAAAGTAATTTTAAAATAATCTCCACAGGGTATGTACTTATATATGTAATGCTTTATAATAAATCACTGCCATTTTCCACAGGATGGATCATTATCTGGAAAAGACCCTCAAGAGCTGGTCTTCTGTGAGGAACATTTGTTACTTGTGGGTTCGGGTGGTCAGCTTGTACAGATCTGATCACAAAGATCTCCAAAGAGGGCTCCACAGCATTTACTCCTAACTATTATTTCCACTTTGAGGCTACAAACTAAAATATTTCTTCTTTTATATCTGAACTTGCCTGTGACAATTGAACCACAACATCTCTGTTGTTTATTCTTCACATATTTTTCAGTATTTATTGTTGTTTGCTGTCTTCCTGGGCACAACTGCAATCTTTATTACAACATTTGCTCTGCTCAAATTATCCATTAATGAACCATAACTACTTGGCACTGTAAACAATCTGCCTGCACTGCACTGACTGATCACAGCTATACTGTCAGTGGCACTTGCATTAGCCTGTTTAAAATCTAGCTCTCGCACGGTGACTCCCAGCTGCAGTCTATGAAGAAAATACCAAGAGGAAGGAGCACATGAACAAATGCACAGGAGAGGGAAAGAAAAAAAGGGAAGACAATATGGCAGTATATACCAGACAACAATATTAGAGAAGGGAAGGTAGGAAAAACACTCTTAAGAAGTTTAGGGTACTCACATTTATCCGTGAGAATGTTACAGTGATAGGTAACATATAAGTGCATTAATATAAGTATTATAGCTCCCAGGCAATAGTAACAGAGGCAATGTTATCCATACTTCACACTTAATTAATGCCATTTCATCTTTGAAGACATTGACAAGACGAGCAACCTCAGAACACAAATCATAAAGCTATTTAGAAACCTATCTCTCCTTGATAGAAGTGGATACCTAAATGCAGTATCCTTTGAGCTGGGATGACTCAGCCTCTTTTCAACAGGCTAGAAAAAGTTCCTAAACACAATGCATATTATCACCGATAACGTCAGCAAGTCAGGCAACTCAGTGCTTCCAATAATAGTCAACTTCACTGCCAGAAAATGGAGTATGTAACACACTGCAGTATAACACACGAGCACCCTGCCCATGTAAATATGCAAGTGCACTGTTACTTTATTGACCTGAGCAGGTCATAGAGCATAGTCATCCTAAAGAGCAAGCAAACAGCATTATGCACTGTTTCCACCTGGACAACTCCCCCGCCAACGTTACCATAAATCACCCCTACGTGACCGGATTTGACTTACCTGGTCCAATACCCACTTTAATAATATCTGCTCCGGAAAGAATAAGTTCTTCTACCATCTCTCCTGTCACCACATTGCCTGCCTAGACAGAAGGAACAGTATCACATATATGGGAGATTTCAAGACTACTGCATTAAAGACTAACGATGATAATGTACAGTTTTATCCAGTGCTTTTATGAGTTGAACTATAGTCAAGAAGAATATAGTTCACCATATGCGCATGCCACAGAGATTAAACAAATCATACAGGTACATCCTCGAGTCAAACGATTTTCATGATTGGTCCAGTAAACCCCAATTCTTAAGGTCCCATCAGGGTATCTAGTTTGTCTTCCACCTCCTAATCCTCACCCAGCGGCTCTCAACCACACCATCCCTAACTGTAAGGGCTATATAGTCAAACCTCTCCTTTACATACAGTGCAACTCCTCCACCTCTCCTGCCCTGCCAATCCCTCCTGAACAGCTTATAGCTCTCCATCCCATCTGCCTACCTCCCTTTGTGAGAAGATGTTCTATTCTTATCTAAAATCCTGGCAAATCTTTTTTACCTTTAGGATTTAGTGTTTTGAGTACTGAAAGAGTAAGAAAGGTACCATGCTTGCCATTTTGCACTTTGGTGCCAAAACTGGTATGCACATTCAGACTGTGTAAACAGGGGCATTTATACCGTATATATTCATTTGGTTGTGGTGATGCCAGAGGTGAAAGAAAGGGGTTTGGTTCCCTCTGCATCTGTGGAGATGTAGAGAGCATGCTGTTTATGGTGAGGTCTTCTTCTCGGAAAAAAGTTCTGAATTGTTCTGTGTTCTTTACCATATTTTTCCTTGCACTTCCATAGTTTTTTTCCTCCTTTGGCCTTCATCCTTGAGACCTTTCTTGAAATTGATGGCAGCCCTCTCAGTCTTTGTCTTGCTCCTTCAAGCTGTCTTCTTCTGTAGGCCCTTCATGCCCCTAATCAACTGCTTAGTCTTTGTTTGCCTTCATCCCAGACAGAATTTGTCTTTCTTGAACCCAAGGAATGAGAACTCTCCATAGTGGTACAGGTGAGTTGTCACCATGGCTTTGCACAATGCTTGCCCTTCCTATGGGAAGATCTTGCCTGGCACACAAGAATGCATTTGCCTGTATCACATTTGTGGCTCATAGTCACCCTGTGACCTACTCATGCCTCCAGGAACATTTGCCTACTCCCATGTTTCCAAACTGGAAGAGAAACTCATGGTGCTCCACCTGATGTTGGGTTACCTATTTCTACTCTGCAGTTCTCCACCCATGGTTTATTGATGTAGGGGCTATCTCTTCTATCAGAGCTTCAGCTAGTATGGAGCATGTGGGCCATAGAAATATACCACGATACCATGATCCATGGTTTATGGATGCCATGAAATCCAGAATATGATGTGGACAAGAAAACCTACATTTCTTGAACCATGGTTTTCTGCAATCTAAATTCAAAAGACCTGACCATGAACTTCACCATTTCATACCTACGAAGTCATCAAAGGATGAAGGGTGAAGCCTGAGAGATGTGTTAATGAGGCTTTCACCCATTAGCAGTAACCTGCTGGAGTCCAGCTCCATGCAGTCATGACCAGCAGATCCAGCCCTCCACCAGCCGGGAGAGCAACAGACGCACTCTGTGGGTAGGCTCTGAGCACGAATCTGGTTGTGTCAGCCTAGTCACTTTAGAAAAGGATGTCTCTTCCTATGAAAGGAAATAACCACAGCTGGCATTAACTGAGATTCCATTTTGGAAGTTTAATTACAGAAAGTCCCAAATCAGCTGATATGGCACTGAAAAAGCTTCAAGAAATTAAACACTGGTAGATCAGTGCGATGCAGTTAGTGGCACTGATGTCTGTGGGGATACGCTTTACCCTTCAGGAGTGTGAAGACAGGTCACTGAGTTTTTAATTTAATTCTGCAGGCACTTAGTGAAGAGAAAGGTTGTTGCTAATCATGCTGATGTGAGTAAGGAGTTGGCTGGCCAGGTGGCAACTGCCTCTCTTAATTTAAGAGTCCCTACGTGCCTGTAAGATGGATGCCTATCCAGTTGAACTATTCTATTCTATTCTATTCTATTCTATTCTATTCTATTCTGTTCTGTTCTGTTCTGTTCTTCTTCCTACCTCCTCCTCTCCCTACCAGTACATGCTGAGGTAATCTCTGATGACATTTCTTCCCAGCCCTGCACTAGAAGGAATTGAATGGGTAATCATGGAGGGGTCCTAGGCACTGGCTGTGTCACTTTCTGGGAAGGAGGCATGTACATTCTGATGGGTATGAGAGCTGTGGGTCATCTTGAGATAATTTGACCATCTAAACAAATTTACAAAAAGCATGTGTGAACTCCAGTTTTTGAAAGTCTTCTCTGTTAATCCAGTTTAGCTGCATTTCCACAGGATGGCAAAAAACCACACCTCTGACGTTAGCAAGGCTCAAAGATCAAGCCCTCAGCCTGAAGCAGGAAGTGCTCCAGAACTAAATTGTTGCAAATCTTTTTGAGGTGAGCAATACCTATTAATTTCCCTGTGGATTTTTTTCTCCTTGTACTCAGTTTTAGAAATGCCAGAGCCGTTTCCCTTGGAAAAACACGCTAAACCAAAGAGCCAGAGAACAACAGTACTCCCTCAGAGTGAAGGTCCATCTGGCCCAAACCTCCGTCTCCAAAGTGGCCAATGTCTAAAGAAGAGGACATGAGCACTGCAAGTCTACTTCTGCCGCGTCCTGGGGGTGCTCATAGGCCTCAATGGCTGGGACCAGCCTCCCCTGGGACCCTCACCCACACCGTCTCCTGCCAAGGGCCCAGGGGACAGGGTGTCTCAGCTCAGCCTGGGGCCTTCAGTCCTTGTCTGAGCGATGATGTAGGTGTGCCCGCCTCTGCCCCTCTCTCCTGGATGGGCCTGGCCCCTGCACTGCAGAGAGCTGCTCTCCTGCATGGAGCCCTCAGACCTAGGTCATAGCTTGGCATGAAGAACTGTATGCATAACATAGCATAACTATTCTATTCTAATTAATTCCCTGCACTTACCCTGAGTTGAATGAGATGGTTATTTCCCTGAAATGCCAGGGGGGTTTCAGCTCCAAAAACACTTTCAAGGACACATCTCACAAAGGTTACAAATGGAAGTAGGATTTTTTGTTGTTTTTTATTTTTATGAATCTCTTTCAGAGCCGATACTCATAAGCATCAATGCGCGTGTGCAGCCAGGAGCAGGCTGATGTATTCTTCAGTTTAGTTTGAAAAAAACATCCCTTGCAGTCTGGGAAAGGCAAGTCATGGAGCTACAGAAAGTAGCATCAGGAATATAGCCCAAGCAGTCCCTGTTTCCTGAAGAGTAAGAACTTGAAGAATGAGGATCAGGACTGACCGCACACAAAAGTAGAAGAGGTATGTGGTACCATGGGGTATATTCCAAAGTAGGACATGTAGTGATGACAAGCACACTTTTGGCCTTCCAAAACTTGCTCAACCAGCGATCCACGACAAGCACTCTCACGCCTGCCCTGTGCTGGTGTTGCACACAGGGAGAGCTGAAAAGTGGCAGCTCCTCATGGTCCAGCAAGCCTGGAGCCCTTCCAAGCACAGGCTATTTTACACAAGTAAGAGCCCCTGGGGAGATGGAGCCCAGGGAAGAGCAGAGATCACTCCCATGACAAACTTGCAATGGGAAAGAGCGCCTGAATGAGCTAAGGCACAAGTAGTGCCTTGGAGGTGCAAGAGAAGCAGGGAAGAACCTGGCCAAAATGGCTCAGAGGAGCCCTGACAAGGAGCTGTGCTCAGTGCTGCAGAGGACAAGAAGCAATCCCCGAGGGCCACCCTGGGGGCCTGCCCTGGGAGTCTAGAAAGCTTCCTCCCCCCAGATGCGGGGCACGAGGACCACCTTCGTGGAGCAGGAGCAGCAGGCCCCCAGCCAAAGTGGCCCAAAGGAGCCCTGGCAAGGGGCCATGCTCAGTGCTGCAGAGGAAGGCAAAAAAACCCTCAGGGACACTTGCTGTCTCACCCTGGGGGGAAAAAAAAGCCTTCCTCCCCCCAGCTGCAGGGCACGAGAGGCCAGCTTCGTGGTGCACGAGCAGGAGGCAGTAACCCAGCCAAAATGGACCAGAGGAGCCCTGGCCTGACAAGTGATCATGCTCAATGCTGCAGAGGAAGGCAAAAAACCCCTGGGGCCCAGTGCCAATCTGCCCCGGGGGAAAATTCCTTCCTGACCCCATAGCTGGCCATCAGCTATTCCCTGAGCATGTGAGCAAGACCTGCCTCCTCCTCCCACAGGCTGGTCACTCCTCCCAGGAGATGCCCAAGCCTTGTTCTCCCTCAACCTGGAGCCACTTCCAGGGCTTCCCAGAGTGGCCAATAGCCCCCGGCCTGATCGACCTTGGGGGCAAGAATCCTTCCTGTGCCTGGCAGGACACCTGTGGGTGCTCCAAAGCACCCGGAGGCCTGGAAACATCTCTGCATCCCATTTCTTACAGCTGCTGCCCCTGGCTCTGCAGAGGATGAGGACAGAGAGCTTTGCAGTGCTCCTCAAGATCTCCTCAAGAAGGCATTCCCTTGGTCTGGCCACTGTTCTCGAGCTGAAAAGGCCTGATATCCTCGGGCACCTCCAGCTGTTGGTGGTTCTTCTCATTTCTAGCAGCCTTGTCCATCCTCCGATCTTCTTCCCTCAGCCCCTCCAGGTAATTCTGCTGGCTCTTCAAGGACTTCCTCTCAGATGTGTGTGGGGTGTCCCGAGGCCAGCTCTGTCCCAGTGATGAAGCCAGGCAGCCTGGCAGCAAGGCACAGGAGGACATCCCTTTTATCCTGCCGCAGAGCATTGTGACTGCTGCGTTGCCAGGTGGTGGCACTATGCCATGGGGGTGACCGCATTCCCCCTGCGCAGCCCCACCCGCCACCCCTCCACCCAGCATCCTTCAGAGGAAGGCCCTCAGGGTGCTGGCCCTGAGGGAGGGCTGTCCCTGCCCTTGGTGGCCATGCACTGGGCACAGCTGCTGGGCATCCCCGATACGTCCTCCACCACTGGCTCCCAAAGACAAACCTCGTGCTGTTACTCATCTCTCAGGCCATGGCAGAAACCAAC